TAATCCTAACCCTTAACCTAACCCTAAACCTAAACCTAACCCTTAACCTAACCCTAATCCTAAACCTAAACCTAAACCTAACCCTTAACCTAACCCTAATCCTAATCTCTAAACCTAAACCTAACCCTTAACCTAACCCTTACCTTAAGTTGAATCAGCTTGCTTTCAAAGCGCTATTTAAACCCCCCCTATTTCTCAGCGCTGGCTGTTGTCGCCCTGTTGATGACGTCAGCGACGCGGTTTAATCAGGCGCGGCTTAGTCGAGGGCGGTTTTGACGGGTCACGCAATTTTTAGAGATTGTTCCCACAGCAGGCACGTTAGCAGGCCTTCCGCAAAGCGACCAAGACCTGGCTGTTCCAGCAGGCCTGGGGCTGTTGAATTATCCAGCCCTATCCTAAGTCATGAATGTTGTTGTATTTTAATTGTTGTTTTTTTATTTTTATATTCCCCCTTCCCTTTTATTTGTAAACCGCCCGGAGTCTTCTGAGAGTGGGCGGCATACAAGCTAACTAAACTAAACTAATTAACTAACCCATTTCTTATCCCACAGGTACTTCGAGAGCCACTCTTTTGCATGAGCTACCCTCCTGCATGCGGCTTCACAGCCACAACGCTGCGTCAGCACCCTCCCCCAAGTGTGGGGTATCCTTTCATTTTGTGCTCTCCCCCCCCATCTGGGGATATCTCTGCCCCGAGGGGCTCAGGAGTTCAATCAAACCAAGAGCATCACCGTCCAGCCTGCTTCGAGCCGGCTCAAATGCAACCTGCCTGGGGCCAGAGGCCATCCCATTGAAGCCGGTGGAACCTTTGCAATCTTGCCGCGTAACTCACTTCACGTCCATCCATGTCAGCCGTCGAGGCCAGCAACCTACTGGGGAATCAGTGGAGAAGGCGGTGGCGGGGGAAATAAAACGCTCCGCCGTTGTTTGCCAGCTGTTGGGGGGGGGTAATTTCAAAATTGATTTGAGAAGCTATTTCTCCTCCTGTCCTCGTGAGTCCTAGAAGGATAGCTTTCCCACGGAGGGGGAAAGCTGGTGTCGCGGAAGGAAGACAGGGAAACACGACAACTCTTGTTATTGGAAGAGAAGGGACTTCTCCAGTAGGGAATTGGGAGCTGCCAGAGCAAAGTTGAAGGCTTGTCGTGAGATAGCTTGAATTGGAGCTACCTTAGCTCCAGTTGAATCAGGATCAAAATGAAATTCGATGGGTGTTTGGGGAGCCTTAGAAGGATATGCCTGGATATTGCCAGACTCCCCAAAGGATATGACTTCCTTCTGATCTTAGAGCAATATGTGAGTGAGATTTTGGATGGATGATATCACTGCTGAAGATAACGCAATGTTTTAAAAACGAGCTGCTTGTTTAAGAAGTGCCAGCGTGATGGGTCAAGGCGGTGATCTGATGCTTCTCCTTGGCCTAGGAAGCAACTGCCCGATCTGAGGATTGACTCGTAGGTAATACAAAAAAAGCTTGTTCCACCTGCTGTTGAATCTTCACATCTGGGTTTGGTTGGGTTTCTTTTTTTTAGTTTAGATTGTGATTGCTAGGCTGGGTAAGACAAGACCTTGTCAGGATTTGATGGAAACAAATGCCACCAGGGAGCCAGAGAGGGTTCCTGTCAGAAGAAGACATGGACCTCTGGAGGAGTTTGATGCTCCAAGCTAATTAAAATTAGAACTACTTACTGTAGTATCCCTTCTTTCCTGTAATAGAAGTGAACCACCATCTGTAGGATGGCTTTAGCATCTAGGCTGCTTCCATCCATGAATCTTTCTTTCCATTATATCATTGCTTTTCAGGTTTTGTAATTTGTGGGAATATGAATCCACGTGGTGTGTTTCCATTTAGTGATTCATTGCAAAAATCCCATCTACGTTAGCAAGCAGATTACGACAGGATCTTCTCAAACTTCTACAGGCCATCCCACCAAGCCTTTATTCCCTCAGACACCCCCACCCCCCCGGTTGTTCTGAAAATACAGGTGCTGGTGTTTTGCACACCTGCGCACTGTTTTCTTTATTTGTGCCAGAATCTCAAAATACTATCAGGTTTTCCGTAAAAACTGCCTAGTGTAATGTTGGCGTTTTGACATTCTGCAACAATAAAAGGGTTAACCTGCAACATTAAGGGATCCATTAAGGTTTCTTAACTATATAAATAAAATGTGCTTTAGATAGCCGGGATCCTGATATCCCCAGCCAGAAGGTTCGGGCGCATCTTTTCCTTCTTCTACGTAAATATTCCAAAGGAGCAAATGGTAAACATTTTAAAAAGTGCAGACACATTGGCTATCCGCTTACATACAGTACATATGTAGGAAAATATATTTTTTTTTGACCTTGAAAGGGAACGAGGAAAAAAAAAATAGAGGTGCGATATAGAGCAAATTATATATATTTAAAAAGCGAATGGGCTTGGAAATTTTAGTTTTATCGTTTAAAACAATTCACAATCCTGGAATATAGGATTAAATGAACTGGGGCATTTTCTCAAAATTTTTGAGAGTGAAGAACTATAGAAGATTTTTACTTTGTAGAATAGTGGTTTTTTTTTCTGTTTCTAGCTAAATGAATTATCAGTGGTAAAGAGGGGTGGGGGGAAGAATAAAAAACAAAAGTTGTAGGTGTAGGGAGGTATTCATGACCGAAGGATGATGTAGAAATCCCTCTGATGATATTTTAGCAAATGTTTTGCTAGCACATGTTAAGCAGGTCCATCTGGCCTCCACTGTAAGTGGAATGGAGACCATGGATGCTCCCCCACCGCAAACAATAGGGTAGCCACAAGATTTCCATCATAGGGACAGTGATTGACAGGGAAACGGGTAGCAAGGCCAGTAGTTATATTCAATCTTTGACACCTCCTGTCTGCAGCTCGCCTGCTGGACTGGATATCTGCTTTGCTGAGTTGCTTGGAATTGGAGATTTTCTCAAGATTCTTGGTGGGATGGGTGAGAATCGTTTTCCTTCATGCTTCCCTCCCCTATACAAATGTGTCAAATAAACTGGTGAAAACAGGAATATGGTTGTGGAACGCCTGTCTTTGTTCAGCGAAACGGCGGTCATCTCTCTCTTCCTCGTGGGTTTTAGAGGTTCATCTTTCTTCTCCCAGAAGGCCTGGGGAGCCAATCAATGTGCTGGTTGGAATGTTCTCCATGCATAAGAACAAGCTTTAGCAGGTTGACACTGAACTTCCATTTACAAGCTAGTACCTCTCTTGCCTATTTCTGTTGAGGCTGTTGATGAATTCAGCTGGAAGATGGGTGTCCCATTGTGCAATTCATCCAACTGCAAACTAGGCTATCAAAAACAGTACAATACGCGTTTGGGGATGGTGGGTGGTGTGACTTCTTTCCCCTCAGTCCGCTGCTTGGAAAATAGCAGCAGCTTGGCTGTGAGTTCATCCGCATAGCTCCCTTGCCCTGGCTACCTGGTGGCCAGCTTGTTAGTTAGGGATCTGTTGTGGCCCAGCAGGAGCCGTTGGAGCTGCCACCAGACTCCGACAGCGAGGGGCCCTATGAGTCGGCCCTGG